ACCTAACATTCCGTCTTTACGCGCCAAATTTGACGGGGTAAGATAAACATATAAAAGTTTCCATCTTGCTCCGTTTTCAAAAGTCATACAAATGGTCTCATATTCTCAAACTGTACCTGAAAAAATGATTTGTTTTGTTACAGCCATTATATAAATTGTCAGCGGCACAATTTCAGCTAATATTATCTAAAGGTATTTATTTCTCACTAATGCTTTATTTTTAATATCTTAATTATATCGTATTTATTTTAATTTTTGTATATTATATCATCATCATCATCATCATTACAGCCTTTCATAAGTCCACTGCTGAACATAGGCCTCCCCCCAAGGAATGCCACAAAGCACGGTCTTGAGCCACTTGCATCCATCGACTTCCTGCATGTCTTACCAGGTCGTCACTCCATCTCGTGAGGGGTCGCCCTACACTTCGCCTACTGGTACGAGGCTGCCACTCAAGAACCTTTCTTCCCCGTCGGTTGTCAGTTCTTCGAGCTATATGGCCGGCCCACTGCCACTTCAGCTTACTAATCCGTTGGGCTATGTCGCTTACTCTGGTTCTACTGTGGATATACTCATTTCTAAGTTTATCACGCAGAGAAACCCCGAGCATAGCCCTCTCCATAGCTCGCTGAGCGACCTTGAGCTTCCTCATACGGCCAGCAGTGAAGGACCACTTCTCAGTTCCGTAAGTGATCACTAGCAACACGCACTGGTTGTACAATTTCGTTTTAAGGTTTTGAGATATGTCTGACGAGAAGATGTGTCGTAGCTTCCCGAACGCTGCCCAGCCGAGTTGAATCCGTCGATTGACCTCTCAGTAGAAGTTGGACTTACCTAGTCGGACTATTTGTCCCCGATAAACATACTCGTCAACAACTCGAGCTTAGTGCTCCCAACAACTACCGGCATAGGTGTGACATTGACATTAAACATAATCTTTGTTTTGTCCATGTTCATCTTAAGACCTATCCGTTGGGAGACACTATTGACGTCATTGAGCATAGTGCTTAGGTCCTCCAGCGATTCTGCCATAAGGACTATATCGTCGGCAAATCGAAGATGAGTGATGAACTCGCCATTGATGTCAATATCGTATCCTTTCCAGTCCAGAAGCTTGAAAACGTCTTCCAATGCAGCGGTGAAGAGTTTCGGGGATATAACGTCACCCTGTCTTACACCTCTCTGCAATTGGATAGGTTTCGTAGTCTGGTTCTGTACTCGGTTAGCCACCGTAGCTCTACTGTGCAAGCAACTCAGCACTTCGATATACCGACAGCCAACTTGGCACCGCTGAAGGGACTGCAGCACCGCCCAAATTTCGACGGAATCAAAGGCTTTCTCATAGTCCACATACGCCAGGCATAGTGGCAAATTGTACTCCTCGGACTTCTGTACAACTTGCCGAAGGGTATATATGTGGTCTATGGTGCTAAAGCCCTTTCGGAAACCGGCTTGTTCGGGAGGCTGGAAGTCGTCAAGTCTGCGTGCGAGACGATTCGTAATGACTCTCAAAAACAGCAGGTAGACGCGGCTCAGAAGGGAAATCGGTCTGTAGTTCTTCAAGAGAGCGTTGTCACCATTCTTGAAGAACAAGACCACTGCACTTCTGCTCCACGCCTCCGGTGTAATTCCACCATGGAGGACGGAATTAAAGAGCTTCTGAAGGACTTCCAGTACCGGTTTTCGACCCGCTTTCAGAAGCTCCGCTGTAATTCCATTCTCGCCTGGGGCCTTGCCGTTTTTAAGATGCTGGAGAGCCATTCTAATCTCGCTCAGACTGACGTCCGGGATATCTTCGGAATAGTGGCGGATAAGACTCGCTCTTGGATCGTTACTCACACTTGCGTGTGGCTCCAACGATGACGTGTACAGCTGTCCATAGAACCTCTCAATCTCACTCAAAATCTCAGGTGCTTCGGAAACGATGCTGCCACACTCGGTCTTCAGCCTTGACAGTTGGCTCTTTCTGGCAGATAGATCTCTGGCAAAGACTTTGGAGCCTTGGTTCCGCTCGATCGCTTCTTCTATACAAGCTTTATTGAAGTTGCGTAAGTCCCGCTGCATGCATTTGGAGATCTGTCTATTCAGTTGCCTGTGTGCTGTCAAATCTGTTGAAGAATGTAGCTTCATGTCCCGTCTAACAGCCATTAGATTAAGAGTGTGATCGGCGAGTTTTTGTGTTCTTCTGCGGCGGGTCTTGCAGAACTTAGCTCTGACTGCATGGACAGTTTCCACGAGATTGTCATCCATGTCGTCAACTTCATTGTAGTCTTCTAGGCACTGAAAACGGTTTTGTGACTTGAGTTGTAAGGTTTCGGGACTTTGGAACAGAGCACTAGGGGGACGGAGCGTAGACTTCATTAGACGAGACCTCTCCGGCTTAACGTAAGTTCAGTGTGCCTCTAACCATTCGGTGATCGCTACCAGTTTTCACCGTCGTGATCACTGAGACATCACTGAACAGTTGTCGTCTGGTCGTCATAATGAAGTCAATCTCATTTTTTGTGGAACCGTCGGGGCTCGACCAGGTCCATTTCCTGTGGGGCCGCTTCTGGAAGAAAGAGTTCATCATAAAGAGTCCCTCTTTCTCCATGAAGTCGGCCAGCTGCTGGCCCATTGGGTTCCGTTGCCCTATTCAAAATTTCCCTACTTTCAGCTCACCGTTCTCTCTTGTGCCTAGTTTTGCATTGAAATCTCCCATTAACACCGTATATTGGGTTTTCGAGGAATGCATGGCTCTAGAGATATCCTCATACATTTCCTCCACCTCCTCACTGGGGTGTGCCGAGGTTGATGCGTAAACCTGTATGACCTGCAGCGAATACCGTTTGGTGATTCTGAGTATAAGGTACGCAACCCTCGTCAACACACTCTCGATCTTTACAACGTTGTTAACGAGAGATTTGTGGACGATAAATCAGACATCTCCTAGGGACAGATGGTCGCCCTCCCGGTGATAGAGCAAGTTGCCGGATTCGAGGATTACCGTGTCCTCCCCCTCTCTTCGGACTTCGGATAATCCTATAATATGCCAGCGCAACTTGTCTATCTCTTCTTCCAGCTACATGATCTTCTAGTCAGTCCTCAGGGTGCATGCGTTGTACGTTGCCAGGTCGAGTCGTCTAGGGTGGCAACCGAACCTCCACCGGAGATCCTTAGCACGCCCTGCCCCGCCGTTACCATGGTCGCCACCGTAGCCAGGAATAGCGGGGCCGCCGGGAACTGGGGGCCGTCTGTTTGTTGCTCTAATCATTGGGGGGTATCTGCCATTGTTGCCACGCTTGGCGAGCGGGTTAGCGGGTTGGCAACCGCAGTTTTTTTATTGTAATTTTGGCTATTATCAGGAAGATGCTGCTACCCATCTCCTGCCTGTTTCCCTTTGTCGCCTTTTACGACACCAACGGGAAGATATGGGGTAGTGAATATTCTTGACCGCCACTACACGGCAATGTGTTGTATATTATAAGAGAGGCAAAAAGAGCAAGCGGGTCACCTGATGGCTAACTGATTTCACCGCTGCCCATAGACACAAGAAACAACAGGAGTGTTACTTGTGCGTTGCCTTCTCATAAGGTATAGCAACACGATTCGTAGGAATGGGAGTAGAAACTTAAAGAAAGGGGAAATACCACCAGACACTCGTTAGTAAATGCGACATCACTGCTCCTAGAACAATGCAACGTCACATCGGTTTATCTAGCAAACGTCAACATTCGGGTGGCCTTATGAAAAGGGGAAAAGGAACGGGCATCCGGAACTCTCACTCACCAGACGAAACATGGCAGCCACTAAGAAGCTAACCACTTCACGCTGATTTTCTGTGAGAGAGTAGTATCGCACCGGTCGACCCTGCTTATTTATGTGTTACAGTGAACTGTAGACGTGGATCCACTACCAATATTTTTATTAATGTTTAGATATAATTTTTTCTATGTTTTAGTTGCGGCATTTTCAAAATTAAACACCTAACCAATTAATAAGATCTTAGAGATCTTATTAATTGGTTAGATGTTTAATTTTGAAATATTTAATTTTTTACGTTTTGTGCTACATATTTTGTTGACGAAAATGGTAAAAGGTACATGTGTTATCTGTATTATTTGAAGGTATTTCGATATTATAGACAGTTCTGAAGTGTCAGGACAGTTAAAATTGTAGCCTACTGACAGTCAATATCGTCTGACATTTTTTTTCTTTCGATAAAAACATTGTAATTATTTTTTTTTGCTTTCGAATAAATATAACAGGGATTTATCGATATGACATAAAAATATGTTTTTTGTACCCTATTCACTATAGATATAATTTTAGCTTAAGTTAATATGTACTGTTTTACAAGACGTCAAACACAACACTGCTCATCTCATCAAAAGACCGTTCGATCTTCCCCCCACTCACCTATATTAAATTAAAAAAAAAACCTGTGTGCAGTTCACACGGGGTTGAAGTGAAACCTTCATAAAACTATAGCAAACATCGGAAACCTAAACTTCGAAAGAATAAGACAAACGCAATGTATCTGGATTATGATGATTGTAGGATTTATTTCTCACAATATTGTTACCAATTTTAAAAATCATCTTACATTTTATACTACATAATTAAATATATTATAACACATATTACACACATTCCAAGTTTTAAATCTGATCATCTTAAGTACTTAAATATTTTCTCATCAACAAAGTTCGTCCTTTAACCTTTAAGTAGTGACGTGGGTGTCTCACAGACAGCTTCGATGCAAAATCAGTCTCGTAGCGTTAATTTTTTAAAGACGCTCCCGCCCCTCCCGCTACCTTCGGGTTTCAGTGGCGTGATCGGTCAGTCGAGTGCTCGCGCTCGTGGCAGCAACACCTGTATCTGTACGATCGTTTGGTGTCCCTGAGACCTGAGGTCAGTATTTGCGTAAATGATTTATTAGACGTCACTACAGTATTAGTGTATTTTTTTCTAAGTGTCTCTTATTCGTCACCTCACTGTGTACGTTATTATTTTAGATGGATCAACCTGGACCTTCAGGAAACAGTCGAAAGCGAAAGCGAGTAGCTCTAAATACTTCGACAAATGAAAAGACCTTAAGTCAGTGGATAGAGGCTGAGTTGGAGCGAGACTTCAGTGATGTGGACGATGAAGAAGTGGATCCAGATTTCTGTTTGCACAGTGATCATGACTCGGCTTCAGAACAATCTGAGGATGAAGAAACTCAATCTCAACGACAAAGATCACCCCGCAGTTCAGTTGCGATGCAAGATTCAGGTCTATCTTCAATACAAGATAATATACACACGGAATCCCAAAGATACTACATAGGTAAGAATGGTTTTAAATGGTCGAGCGATGAACAAGTGATGCGTAACTGTCGTTCACTAAGCCACAACTTGGTTGACGTACCTAGATCACAGCCTAAAGCATTCACCAACCTAGAAACCTTGTGGAGACATTTTATGGATGACGATATTGCTGACAAAATAATTGAATATACCAACAAAAAACTTGCCCAGATACGGGTAAAATATAAAAATCAGGAAAAACCTGAGCTTCGCAACACGGACGCAGAAGAAATGAAGGCTTTCTTCGGGTTATTATTTTACTCATCTGTCTTCAAATCTAACCATGAGAATGCCAAATATATCTTTGCTACAGATGGTTCAGGCCGAGAGATATTTCGTGCAGTTATGTCTCAGTACAGATTTCTTACACTTTTGAACTGCATTCGCTTTGACGATGTAGAAACCAGACAGCAACGACTAGAGACTGACAAACTGGCAGCAATTTCGGATATATTTGAAAAGTTTATATCTAATTGCAAAAAAGTTTATGTACCCGGTGCTTACTTATGCGTAGATGAAATGCTTGTTCCCTTTAGAGGCCGATGCAAGTTCATAATTTATATGCCCAAAAAACCAGCAAAATACGGACTTAAAATGTTGTTAGTTTGTGATGCTGAGACATTTTATGTCTATAATGCTTATATCTACTGTGGCAAGGAATCGGACGGTTTAGGTTTACCAGAAGATGACAAAAAGTTTGCAGTTCCTACACAGTCTGTTTTGCGACTTTGTAAAGACTTTGAGAACACCAATCGTAACATCACTGCTGACAACTGGTTCAGCTCTTATGAGCTAATGGAGCAGCTAAAACAGAGAGGTCTGACTTATGTTGGAACTCTAAAAAAAAATAAACGTCACATTCCACCTGAATTTCAAGCATCCAAAACAAGAGAACCTGAAACAGCATTGCATGGATTTACAAAAGATTTTACCTTGGTTTCTTACGTTCCCAAGAAATCTAAAGCAGTTTTACTGATTTCGTCCATGCATCACACGTCCGAAATTAATCCCGTTACCAAGAAACCGGTTATCATAATGGAGTATAATAAGACAAAGGGTGGGGTTGATGAAGTTGATAAAAAATGTTCAAACTATTCCTGTAGCCGCCGCACTCGCAGATGGCCTTTAGCATTTTTTTTCAGATTGCTAGACTTGAGCGGAGTGAATGCCTTTGTGCTTTATAGGCAGTGTGCTGACGTATCAGACATATCAAGAGGACGATTCTTACAGGATCTTGCCCGAGAATTAGTTTTACCACATTTACAACGACGAGTCTACAATGACCGTCTTCCAAGAGAGCTAAGACTGACAATGGAACGGATTCTTGGCGAAGATTTACCGCCAGAACCTAGCCGCATTGAGTCAGCTGTTGGTGAAAATGACAAAAAGACTTGTAAGGTGTGTCCAGCAAGGCTGAAGCGACGCACAAGGTACAAATGCGTTGCATGTCATAAGCCTATATGCTTAGGCTGTTCCAAAACAATCTGCAGCGACTGTATTGACTGAGACTGAATTTAGAAGACTGATTCTGTAGTAGTTCTTATATTATTTTAGTAGTTAAGTTGAAGAAGTAATATATTTTATTTTTTGTTAAAAAATAAGTCTGTTTGTTTATTTCATAACACTTAAGAAGTGCGTCTTTTATAGGTGTGATTTTTTCGTAACTTTTGCCAAATGTCCTAATAAATGTTGATTAATGCTTAAATTGGGTTTAATTTTAGTCAATATCATTAAAAAGAGGATTTTTATTTTGATTTTATACAAAAAATGTCTAATTAATAATTAAGTTCATACTATTGACATAAATTGCGTAGACGTCTATAAAACGTCACATCACCATTTATGAGTCATCCAAACCACATCACTACTTAAAGGTTAACCTTACTTCTCATGGATTATATGCATAATCTTAATATATATATATATATATATATATAATAAATAGAAAACTAAATACAAAACGCTGCGTACTGTATTCTACCTCACTTAGGCTAAATCGTATAGATTTTCGTTTCATCGAGTTTTAAATCACAACGATTCTAAATAAGTTTTCACTTCAAATAGAGTAAAATTAATCAAATAATAAATTAAGTAAAGTAAAATAAAAGCCGTTATAAGTCCCACTGGCCTTTTCTCATTTCTAAGAGCAAAAGTAAGTCGCTCTTCTCTTGTGCATGTTTGTGTTACATGTCTTTTAAATATTTTATTACTTAGACGTGCTACATTCCTCACGATATTTTTCTTTACCATCAATTACGAGGTAAATAAAAAGGGTGATAAATTAAAATTGCAATTGACAATCAATTTATTAGGGCGTGCAAGAAACGAACTCAAGTGTACTGTGAAATTCACAGTAAGCGGTTAGCCCCTGCGCTGTGAGTGCCACGGCTGTAAGTAGCTAAGTACAACGTAAATGGGCTAACTTGGCTTTGATTCAAATTTTAAAATCCGTGGTACAATTTATTGGCTCGCTCTTTTGAGTTTGAAAATTTGCTTAACTCACAGTATTTGTTATCTTAGTCTCTTAGAATACTAGAAACTTAATTAACATACGACTTTGCTCATATAATATCAAAACTTTTGCTGTAGGATCTTTTGATTACATCTCAAATTAAAATTTAATTAATAATCATAGACTTAGAATATACTGGCTTGACGACCTGACAGCCCGAAAACGCGTGACTAATTTTGATTTGTCATTGTGTGAGTTGGCTAGTGATGTACATTTTATTTTCAGGGACTATCGAAAAATGATTGTTAAGGAAGCGGTAAAAACATTTAATAAAAATTGTTTAGTGCACGAAATTGTATAACTTCAAAATTTACTTAATTTTTACAATGATAATTCTAAAATAATTAACAAAATATTCATATAATTTTTCCTGGGAATAAGCTGAACCTACCTGCCTTTTGTAGGATTTTAATTAAAATACATAAAATCCCAGGTGACTCTACCGATAAACTTAAAAAATCCCCAGGATCGGACAGTTGTACGAGTATTTTCGAGCTATGATCTTTGGAGTAAAATATTTATTGCCATGAACAGTTTCCCCAAAATTTCTTTTTTAACATATCGTGAATATAAAAAGGTAGATACTTAACTAAGTTATAACAATTTATATTTTATAAAATTGTTTTGATGGCGAAATAAAAAGTGGGGACACGTAGTACATAATGGTTACTTTATTTTTCATATAATTATTGCTTTTGATACTTACAAACATTTAATAATTAAATACAATAAAGAAGTTTATTTTACAATCCGACTTAAATATGAATGTAAATTTAATAATTTAAGCAAGGAAACTTGTAGGAATCACTTAAATAAGATTGCTCTGTTTAAAGGCGAATATGTTTATGAGGCTTCATCATGCTTCATGTTTATATTATTTCATCTGTTCCTGAAAAGTATAAAGTAATTTAAAACTGAGAAGTTTAAACTTATTTTTACTTTAGCTGAATGAATTTTAAAAGCATAATGATCTTAACAGAGTAAAGTGCACCAAGTGTCTGAGGATACAGATGCACTCTCTATTCTCTCAATCTCGGTGTGTTAAGAAAATGGTCACTCATTCATGAACTGACCGCGGCAAGTTCAGATTAATCTCGTAAATCTATTGATTCCCGCAGCTATTACTTAACCATAAGTTCCTATTCTCTATGGCTAATCACCCTGTTTAAGCCCTTGACACAACGTCGACGGCCATCAAGCATGAATCGGGTATCGAGCGTTGTGAGTATCAAATACTATGGAATTTATATTATTGCGTCTTATGCGCGGGCGTCTAGTGGCGCTTCAGGAGCATTACTAAATATCTATACCTAACTATAATTATACTTTAAAAGTTTTATCATTGTGACTTGGGAATATAATCTGAAGCTCTGATCAAAGCTTTGGGGAAAATAGCGTGATGCTATGAATTTTGTACTAGTGTGACCTTGAAGTTGTGCGGTCGGTTAAGTAAGTTATATATATATATATATTTGTTAAATATATACTTACTTTGGTTTCATAATGGCTTAAAGAGGATAATCTCAAGATTTTTTATCTTGGATGTACTACAGTTTTATAATGTATAAACATCTGTCAACTGGTACAAATGATGTAGAAATTACTCCTTTTAATAAAATTGTTATTATTCTACTTTTCTTTTACACTTCAAGAAAATGTTTGATGCAAATTGTTGAGTTCTTCTTTGGATTCCAACCCGTGCAATTAACCTTTACCATTTTTTCTAATTATAGAATCCGGAGGGAATCTGTTTGACACACGGCAAAATAAAATTACATTTTAGAACGCAAACCGAGGATTTATTTTCTTGTTGTGTGGACAAGTCTATCGATTCATTATAAACATTCAAGATAAATATCGACATTAATTTTGATATATTTGAGTCAATTCCTAGTGCACATGTAAAATATTTTGTAAAAAAATGTATTTGCCAAATCCTTGCGAATTATCAAGAAAAAAGTCACGTTACTTTTTTCTTTGCAAAATATCAAAATTGACAAAAAAATTGAAAACATTCTATATATCGGAAATGACAACAGGAGATCCCACTTCTTGTGTCGGAGATTACAACAGAGGATTCCGCTTGTGGTTTCGGAAATACATCAGGATAGCGTTAATTGTTAAAAATAATAAAAGTGTGAGAGCGGATGTTCTACTTGCTCTCTTGCTTACGCAGTTTAATCATTATCAGTAATAAGACAACGTAACGCACTATACATTCAGTATAGTGAAATCACAGTTCGACCACGCCGTAACACGGCTCCGCCACAATTACACACCAGTGTAACGTGAGCTACGTAATTACATGATAACACCAAAATATGTAAACCAACAGCAACAACACCCACCTCGATCCAAGTGATATTTTATAGACGCTCCGACATATATTTTAAACAGTAAATAACATACATTTTAACCAAAAATAAACGCACCATAATACGTCGTCTTGAGAATTTACCTGTGAAACGTGCAATTATCAAGATTATTTCTATTATCAACACCACAGTCACTCATAGAACAAGTAATCATTTTGGAAAAAAGTTACTTACTAAAAACAACCATTATTATACTCTAAAAAATTACAAAAATTTTTAAAAGCTTTTTCTTTAGTGACGACTTATTATTCAAAATCAGTTACATATTCATGAGGTTTGGTATCCTTTTCTATCTTGCATTTTTTTCATAAGGAATTTTCTTCTCCCTTGCACACTATGTCGGTCTATACGCCTGTATATTCTAAGTCTATGTTATTAATTATGACGTGAGTGTTGTTGTCACAATTTTTGTAGTTTTAGTTTCTCTGTCATAGTTAATCTAAAAACTTTGTTTTATTTTTAAAAACGTCATTTGTATACGTAAAATTAAAAATATGAAAATTGATTTCCAAAAACCAAATGCTCGAAGTAAGTACCTAAATTAAACCAAAGGGAGATATATATATATATATATATATATATATATATATATATATATATATATATATATATATAATTTAACTATATTATAACATTTTAACTTATCAAAATTCCACCGCTGAACCTACGTTCACCTGTAACCACCTAAGTATGCCTTCCAAATAGATTGCCACATAGGTGAGAAATTTGCCATAGTTATTAAGCTTGCTAGATTAGTTTGATATTTGGGAGAAAATTGATTCAACAGGGGTCCAAAAGAAATGTCCCACGTTTAAAATATACACGTTAAGCCCCAGCCAAATAACACCCATTATATTTGAGAGTGAATGTTTTGACGTTGTTTACTTTCCAACGAACTGAATATATGGCACGTCTCGACGACGCGCCGTGATCCTATGATACTTAATCGTCCTATTTCGTTCATCTTCGGTAATTTGTATTCAAGCAGTGGCATAAATAAAACTGATATAGAATTTCACTTTCAACAGCTAGAGGAAATAAAGCAAAAAATAAATGGATTATTTCACAATTTGAAATGTTTAGTTAAAAATATTTAGAAACTTTTCTAGAAGAGTCATGGTAGCTCAGGTAATGAGAAATACAAATTTAATAGCTCATTTATAGTGAGCTAAGCAGTAATGGAAAACATTGTAAGGATACCTGAATACCTGAGCAATAAGATGTTTTGTAGACATGTAAAATGCGCCTACACTCACTGGAGGACGCGGCGAAGTAGCTGCTTCATAACCCTTTTAGAAGTGAGGGAAGTGTCCAGTAGGAGGACAGATAAAGACTTTCACTTTTTTTTACTATAATAATTTACATTTTTGAAACCAAAATTGTCAAAAAATTGTTTTTAATTTGAATTTAATGGACCATAATTCAGCAAGGGCATACCATTCTCGCTATTCTAGCACCTTATAAAAAACTATCTATATATGGGTGCGTAGTGATTGTTTATCTATCTCTGATATTCGTAAATTAATGTGACAAGCTAAAAATGTAGAGAGAAAAATGTTCTATATTTGAATTTCTTGCCACTTGTTCATTAAAGTTTTCTTTGATGGGTACTGTTTGAA